CCCAAAGGACCTAGCTCATGGCCCACTAGACATTTATATGAGAAAGAAAGGCATTAGGAGAGAACCGAAAACACACCACCTGAAATAAAGAGACTTAGCATGCAAGCATGCGGTTAGTAAATCGAATTCAGCGTGCCTACAAACGCTGCGCCGGTGCTGCCTACGTTCACTGCGGGGCCCGTCGTCGCTTCGGCAGTGGTCCCGAGTGACCTCTCTCATGGCTCACTAGGCCTGCCTGACTAAGGCACTCGCGACCGCATGTGCTACAGCACCATGCGCTCGATGTCAATGGAGTACAATTCATTGGTGCTTGACACTTCCGCAACTGCCGCTTCTTCTCTGCATGCATGAGGGCTTTCTCCCGCACTTCAGCAACTGCCTTCGTGATTAGATCGCGCCATGCACGCCGATCAACCGCCTTCGATTCCCATGACCTACAATCAAGATTAGAACGTGTGAGGCTCACTTTAATCATGTCATGGTAACTTAACTTTGATTTCCCAGCATGCCGCTTCCCTATACTCAGCTGACCGTATAAGCGTTGTTTCGGTATTCGCGTCGAATCCATACGGCTCACATGACCGAGCCATCTCAGGTGTCGCAGTAAAAGTATGCAGTCCACTGCATACATCCCACTTCGGCGCAACACTTCCGTGTCTGCAACACTGGCGCCCCAGCCGATCCGCAAAATTCGTCGCAGACACTGCCGATGAAACCGCTCGAGATATCGTACATCCCAACGGTACATCGTCCACGTTTCACTGCCGTATAGAAGAACGGACAGTACCATGGATTTGTACACCATCAGCTTCGTGCCAATGCTAAGCTGATGGTTGTTCCACACTCGGTACTCAAGCTTCCCGAATGCTGCCGCTGCCGCCTTCGACACGCGATTACGCAACTCAACGTGTAGCTGCTGATCAGTCGACATCACACTCCCAAGGTAGCAGAAGCGGGAGGTGGTTTCCAATACTTCAGCACCAATGCTGAATTGCGGCAATATTGAATATTGCACCTCCGGTGAAGGCTGAAAGAGACAAACAGTTTTGCTTGTGTTGATGGTGAGCCCGAATTTGACTGCTGTCGAAGCCAGAGCACCAGTGATATGCTGCAACTCATTTGCGCTGGGTGAAAACAACGCACAGTCGTCAGCAAACAGCAACATACGGATAGTTGTCTCACAGACTAGAGTTCTCGCACCGAAACGACGGATGTTCAGCAACCCACCATCAATACGGTGCTAAACACGAACACCGTAAGCACAAGCGGCATCAAAAGCACAAGACAACATTGCATGAAGATAGATATTAAACAGGGCAGGAGCTAACACACAGCCTTGCTTCACACCAGAGACAACTGTAAAGTCATCAGAGGTCTCTCCACTCAGCTGCACCCTCGCTCGCATACCACTGTGAAGACATTCAATTAAACTTACAAACTTACGCGGGCAACCAAACTTACCCAACACCAGCCACAATGCCTCGCGGTTCACCGTATCAAATGCCTTGGGGAAATCAACAAAAAGCGAGTACAATGGCTGGTGTCGTTCTCTGCACTTCTCTTGCAACTGACGAGCCGCAAACACCATATCTATAGTGCTGCGACCCGAACGGAATCCACATTGCTCTTCCGCCACGTTTGGTTCCAAAATCTGTCTCACGAGGCAATTGAGCAGGATTCGGGCAATCACCTTGCCCACACAACTCAGCAAGTTGATGCCACGATAATTCGTGCAACATTGCCTGCTCGCTTTGCCCTTGTACAGTGGTAGCACAAGGGCATCCTTCAGCTCAGCAGGCACCTCCTCCTCAATCCACACGCGTTGCACCAAGTGGTGCAGCGCAGTCAACAAGGCGGGTCCGCCGTGTTTCAATACTTCAAGTGGGATCCCGTCACCCCCGGCACATTTGCCGTTTCGCAGCTGAGCAAGTGCTCTCTGCGTCTCATCCAGTCTCGGCGTATCCGCCAGATCCGCCTTCACATTGTGCTGCTTCAGGTCATTCAATGTAGGCCAGTCGATCTCTGAACGGTTGTTCAAGAAACATTCAAAGTGTTTCCGCCAGACCTGCATTATGTCTGCAGTCTGGGTGCAGGTAGCGCCTGAACTACCATCGATCAGTGTCCTCAGCGGCTCCAATCTCGGTCCATACACCGTCTTCAAGGAGTCAAAGAATTCCTTGTGTTGACAGCGTTCGGCGCAGCATTCCATCTGCTTCGCCTTCTCCGTCCACCATGCATTTTTAATGCGACGGAGCTCTCGGGTCAGTCGCCGTCGAAGTTTGCGAAACTGACTACTCTGCCCCAAGTCACTGGGGTCTGCCACATGTGCAGCAAATGCTGCGTTCTTCTCTGACACCAATGCGTCAATCGTCACATTGTTGTCATCAAACCAATCAGGCCGCTTACAGTTTGCGCGCCCGATGGTCTCCTCGGCAGCAGCTGTCTCCTGGTCGCGAATGTGGTGCCACAGGTCGCCCACTGTGGCTATACAGTCCACATCACCACACAGGCGTGCAGCCATCGCCTTCTCCAGCTCAGTACGTTTCGCCACAGTACCGAGGGTGAGAATGTTAAATTTACGCGGATTCACGGCGGGAGTGCAATACATAGATTTACGAAAATATATGTACAGTTTGGTCTGAACCAATTTGTGATCAGTGCCACACTCAGCTCCACGCAGTACACGTGTCATGCGCACTTCACGCATATCACGCTGACGTACGATGACATAGTCGAGCAGGTGAGCGTGACCACTCCGTGGGTGCGTCCAAGTTGCTATATCACTCGCACTCAGTGCAAACCGAGTGTTCGTGATCGTCAGGCCGTGAGTGGCACACAGTGAGAGCAGCCTGTCACCGTTCGCATTCGCTGAACCAATGCCATGCGCACCGATAACATCTGTCCACGCTGATGCATCACGCCCAACGCGCGCATTGAAATCACCCAGCAGAAATAGTCGGTCGCTCCTCGGCACAGACCGTATCACGGAGGATAGCTCAGTGTAGAACTGATCACGCGTGTCATCAGGATAACACATGGTCGGACCGTACGTGCTTATGAAAGTAGCAAACTTACCTCTTCCGAGTCGTAGGCGAACAGTCATCAGTCGCGCGCTGATGCCCGTTGGTTCACCCACCAGCTGGCCATTCAGGCGGTCGATATTGCAAATCCGACCCCATGTTCACGTGGTGCTGAGGCGGCGTTCCCCACCCAGTAGAATGTGTAGCCAGCACCTGCTTCATGTAACTTACCTTGCTCAGCGAGCCGAGTTTCACTGAGCGCCGCAATATCGATGTGGTAGCGCGCCAGCTCCATTGCGACCAGTGCAGTGCGTCGCTCCGGGTGCTCGCTGGAGTTCCGGTCCAGTAGTGTGCGCACGTTCCAGCACCCGATGCTGAGTGCTTTGCGCGCAGGCATACCATTGCATTGGTGGGCAATCGCACGCGGGGTGGTCGTTGTGCTTCGGAGGTTTGCTTGAGGGACTCCACCCGGAGCCTTTGGCTCAATAGCCTGACCCACAAGGCAGTGGGTGGTTTGGAGGTTTGCTTGAGGGACTCCACCCGGAGCCTTTGGCTCAATAGCCTGACCCACAAGGCAGTGGGTGGTTTGGTGGTTTGCTTGAGGGACTCCGCCCGGAGCCTTTGGCTCAATAGCCTGACCCACAAGGCAGTGGAGAGCAGATCCAGCTCGGGAATGTGATTGCAGCGACAGATTGGGATCTGCTTGACGGCCGTCACACGCAGCCTTTGAGGTTCTGGAACAATTATCATATGTTTTGCGACCGTAGTAGGATACGCACCTGCGACCACGGCCAGACGCAGGTGGGTTTTTGGCGGGTTTGCACCAATTTGACCAGGGGCTGCCTGGCTTGAGGCGGGCAGTAGCAAACCATTGAACACACGGAGGTGTCCTCCCACCGTCAGAGACAATGCGTGGCACTCGTGCTCTACGCCAATCGAGCATTGAGAATATAACCCGTAAACCTGTTGGCTCCCATGGCTAGGTTTTACGGGAAGTGGGCCATCGGCCACTTTTAACCTCCGGAGAGGATGGACTAGGATACTGCCAGGGCGCCCAATCCCGACAGGAGAACGACTCGGGTCCTCAGCCAAAGCCTTCGATTAAATGAACACCCGAAAGGCAGCGGGTCTAGCACATGGTCAGTTAGCTGACTCATGCGGATTGGTGTCCTGGATCTTAGCAGGGAGAAGGGCGAAACCTAACTCCCACCCAGCGGTCGCCACGTGGAGGCGCCCAGGACATGAGACTATGGCGCAACAGTAGCAGCAGTGGGTAGACCATCTGTCAGGATCTAGCCACCACCAGCCTCAGCGCACCATAGGCTCTCCCGCCTCATACACAACAACTATCTGCATACATACACATGTATTACTGGTTAACCTGAAGTTCCTTTGTGCAATTACCTATCATACAGGTTTGCATTACCATGATCCTACCTTTACAGACGTGGCTCGCACTACCGATGATAAACTATTTCTTTATATCTTTATTTATTTAAATACGTCACTTCGTTCGTCCATACTCTTCCTGCTTCCTGGAAAGTGGTGCTTTCCCACAGCTAGTGGAAGAATAGCATCCCACTACTTTTTATAGTTGATTACCTCATATAATTTAAGACTGCAGAAAATCTTTGAAATCCGCCGTTACCACTCTTATGAGGGAGGTTACTGACGCCATCTGTAAGAAACTAAACATCTAAAGGTCGGCGCTAGGTTAAGCAGATTGGGGTACCTATGGGGGAAATGAGTCTGGCGACGGCTGATTTTACCTAGTGCTAAAGGTTCGTGAAGTTATCTGGACTGTGACATCACTAACAGCTATGTGCTTTTCATGGAAGTATAGTTTGCATTCTATCAAATTATCCAAACTTACACAAGTAGATAAGATATATGTATTGGATTGAGATTTGATTGAGAATTAGTAGAACTAAAATAAATAGGTTGCTGTAGCATCACAGGAATGATATAGCTACAAAATTTATGCGTACCCAAGAACCAAGCAAAGTTGTCAAATTGTCGCTAGCGGATTCCTCGGTATCCACTGCTGCTATCAGTCAACCCCGCCAGTCTGAGGAAATCACTATCTTCAAGTCAGCCCTAAGTACGGACCATAATACATTCACCGACTGTCAAACAGCGATGACTTCTACTTGTTGGCAAATTTGATCGTCTTGTATGGACTTGATTTTGAAATTACATGTTTTGTCAAATAGGACGTCAAACCAGATTTGCGTGACTCATAATCCACGACAAATTCTGCAAGCTACTGACAAGTTTTCCCGATGATTTGAGCATGCAAGAAGTATGTATTAAGTATCTTCTTTCTAAGCAACAGCCCCACGTTATCTTAGCGGCATTTCTTCTCATGCTTATATGAACCGTTCAGATAAAAGCTTGTGTACTCCGTACACATAAGTGTGGTCTTGTGGGTTAAGCTTATATCCTGAGTAACTGCTACATTTCACTCCCTCTTAATAAAGGCAATATAGATATTTGCGGATACATTTTAAACAAACTATAGGGTGCAATTTTGAACTTGCGTTCATTACCAGCTGTGACGGTTGTATTGTTGACACCAGCAATTAAACGGTCGTACTAAATCTGTAGTGTCTATTAAAAACGGGAATGGAAGTGCTTCATTTGGTTACTTTCGTTGTACCCAGGTGTCATGCGTTAAATGGTGTCTGACGCCTGGGTTAACTAAAAAACATCATGTTTTATTTATTTTGCTAGCCGAGGAGAATGAAGCCCGTAGACATTCGGCGCAATCTGGAAGCGGTAACGAAAAGAGAAAAGAATGTAAGTCTATCTTTCCAGTAGAAGTAACATGTCCTACTTCTAGGCTAACATCTTATATATTAATTGGATACAATTGTATGCAGCTGTCAGTTACTTCCGTCGCTTTATTACTTTGATTCTTTTCCCAAATTACGGGAGTATGAGATGCCAGCATTTATAAGAGGTACTGGCCAATAGTTTGCATTAGCTAATCCGAAGAGTAGTTGAAATAATTTTGCCTTCCGAATTCATATGTAAACTGCATGAAAAGAGCATGACAGACTTAGAAAATAGATGTTTGCTTTAGGCAACTGAAGTCGCTACTGTCGGAAGGCAAAGCTGCACACTGCAAAATTGAAATAAGTTAAAAGAAATATAAACGCTGAACAGTAGAACCAAACATTCACAAAACGGACTTGCCAGTCAGTTCTCGGAAGAATTGTAGTTACTTAGTTTGGCTCAGAAGCAATAGGTTACTATAATCTACAGCTACTACAATCTTTGTAAACATTGATTCAGATTTACGACTGCATGACTTCAGTCACGCGAAACATCAACAGGCGAATGACATATATGTATACCGGAAACCTGCAACCTTCGACCGACTCACGTACTATCGCTCTTGCTTGTCAGTTTATTGTCGGACATATTGATGAATGCGCAGTAGGTATTAGTTTGCACGCAACCTGTAACGTTGTGGCTCGTGTATAGATAATAGTTGCAATCAACTTATAACTCCTTCGCAAATAAGTATCGTGGACGCAGCTGTTAAACGTCGTGTTCATTCCTACTTACACCAATATGCATATGAAATATGCACAGAAATAAAGTAAAACAACCAGAGAGAATAATTAAATACAGGACATCTCAACATGTTTGCGTTGGACAAGGAGGCATTTCTCTTTAACTCATTTTCATTATCATCAATGCACGTTAGTTGAGGGTGAGAACTACACCTTAGCTAATATGCCACAATACAAAGAGGTAAGACACAAGGTTATACTACAAAAATTTCAAAAGCAGCTAATATAAATTTAAATATTATACTATGCATTTGGCATGAGATCGGAATGGTAGGGAGAATCTAAAAGGGAGGGGAATGGAAAAGAAACTCACCAAACAAACGCCACTGGGGCCGCCTCTTGGTCATATCAGCAAGTTTGTCCAAACAAACGGGTTCATCCATCTTAAAGACCCCAACCAGGCAGTCGGGATACACCAACCTATTGCAGAACTCAGTTCTACATATACAGACGTTTAATCGGCACAGACGACTAAACAAAAATTACAGCATGTTTAACATGTTAAACTCCTCAATATAAATTGCAGGCTCAAGTCCATAACTAACGACCATCCTGAGACGATGAAATTTCTCCTTAGCTTCAGTTAACCAAACGGTGAATCACTCACGCGAATAGACTTCAATCCGAGTCCAGTAATCTTATCCGTCAAGTCCGCCTCCCATTGGCTGTTTGGCTCGCTCGGTTCGTCCACCTGCTTATTATGATCCGATAATGCCATCACACAAGCAACCCCAAATTCGAAGTGAGGGTTTTCATTTCTCTCGCCCAAGTCTGCACTTGGCCTCCCCTCCTCCTCTTCCAACCGCGCCCCTTCGGCGCGCAAAGGATGCACATCACGGAATTCGGTGTGTTGGCACGCGCAACAGGTGGCCCAATCATCGGAGCATGGTGCGTGATATAATGATGCTGAGCGGTTCACTCGCTCTTCCTGCACCAAATACTGGACGCCGAATACACTCAATGCTCTCGCGGTGCTCCCACCAGACATGAGCTACGCTTCCAAGACAGCGATGATCGAACTGACTAGCCTCTTTATGTCTGTCGATTTGATGGGCTAGGTTTAACAACCGTAGAAGGGGGTTGAACGGACGGCGGCATTATAAATGCGCTTCAGGGCGAGCATGATGCCACCTCTCCGCCACGGGTGGCGGAGATTGGCAAAAGCACCTCGAGCTTTTGCTATACGGTTGGTAATCTCATCTTTGATTCCACGGGCGCTAATATAGCTGCCGAGGTACTTGATTCTCTGAACGACTTCTAGCTGATCACCATCAAGGGTCAACACAGGAGTAGGTCCTTGCCAACTTGGAGAAGAAGTTTACATTTCGATGGAGCAAAGCATAGCCGAAACCGACTGACAGCCAGTGCTAATCGGTGCAGTGCAGTCTGGCAAGTTTGTGCGCTGTCACTTATGAGGGCAATATTGTCCGCATACTCTAATTCAAGCATTCGCTCACCAGGAAGTAGCTGCACACCTTCAAGGTCGCCTCCAGCAAACGCTGCTTCCATGTATCGTCAATGGTGAACTTAAATAGGAAAGGTGACAGCAGGCAACTTTGTCTCACTCCTAAAGGGATAAGGAAATGCGGCGACAGTTTGCCATAAACCCTTAGTCTGCCCGAATGAGAATGTTTACAAATTTATCATGCACACGTTTTCCCAGCAGGCAGTCCCAAAGGGCACATCGATCCACCAAATCGAAGGTACTTTTGATGTCGAGAAGCACGAGAACGGTGGGTCGCCAATAAACATGGCGGTGCGCCAAAAATTGTCGCAAATTGAAGATGTAGTCGATGCAGCCTGGATTTCCTCGTTACCTGGTTTGCGCTTCGCGGATCTGCATTTCACGAGCGCCAGTCAATCTGTGGGAAACGACAGAAGCAAGCACTTTAGAGACAATTGAGAGGAGACTGATCCCTTTATAATTGCCGCGTTCCGAAGAGCAGCCTCCCTTGAAACTTGGGACTATGATGGAGCGGCTCCAATCTGTCGATACAGTATACTGCTCTCAAATTTCCACTAGCAACTCGTGTAAAACTACATCAGCAGATCTCTTGAATTTGGAGAGGACTGGGTAAATTATCTCTGCCCCTGCGGCCTTATGCAGTTTCAACAATTTGATCTCCCATTAGACTTCTTCGCGTGAGGGTGGATCTAAGGAGGCTTCCCGTGGACAAAGGCACCCAAGGATTGAAAGAGAAAGCGATAACTCTGATTGTTATACTGCCTTGCTAAGTGTTCGGCCCAAAGCTCCAAGCGCATTGATAGGCTAAGTATCCTTCTTTGGTTTAAACGTATTTGGAGAGTCTGCTCAGTGACTTGAAAGTAATACATAATTGGGACGATTGTGATACAGCGTTTAAACAAACCATCTATCTAGGTTCCACTCTAAACTGAAACGAACTTTGTCGCCGTACAGCGCTAAACCTTTTTGACGGGCGCCTATTAATCTGTGAGCGCATAAGGATTTCGTGCGATCATACCCTGGCGTTTTCGATTCTGATTATTAGGCAATGACTTTCACATGCATGTATGAGTGGACGAATCGAACCGAACAACAGGTAGGATGCTGTTCAAGTTGCATCATTTTAACAAACTACAAGCCCGAGTTCGTCAAAACTCGGGTGTGTTAACGAAGCCGTCGCTTGGAGTTCCCACCCTCTTCCCATGGATTTTTCTACTGAACATGCCCCAGATATTTAATCCGTCGAGACTGGTCTGCACGCGCCCCAGTTCAGCACCGAGTGCGCTTTGTAGTCCCATTGGTTTGCAGTTTAGTTGTTATCTTGTCAGCCTGGTCGAAGTAGGTTAGATCAGTCAATCCACACTCTAAGACAACAGATCAAGATGAAACTATCACTATGTTTTTTCTACCAGCCAATTTTGAGGCTGGTAGGAATGGTTGTAGGATGTTTTAGGCGCAGGCTGGAATGGCGTTATTCGTGAAGTAAAACAACATTGCTCAAACATTTTTTAGAATCTACTTTTTCTGCGCTATCTATTTAAAACTCCATATGTGCGTTTAGTATGTGCTATTTGGTCCCCATACCATAACCCATGCCTTCCCCATCCAAAACTACTGCACGACTTAATCCCAAACTAATTGGAAGGAATCATTTGGAGGTGTAAGTGCTATTTGCTAAGTTTGGTAAGTTGGATTGGATTACCTACAATGTTAAGTAATATTTTCAGCCTATGACACCCCATTGGAAGTTTGCAGGGGCCTCATACCGTCTGTCGTTAAATTTACCAATTTATTTCTTTAGCGCTTGCGTCTACGAAATTTTAACTCAGATCAGGTCGTTTAGTTGTTTGTGCAAAGATGATTGTTGATATAGCCATGAAGATGTGTCCAAGTATGCGAAGAATTGATTTGAGTACACGTATGAGCAGGCGCAACGAGTAGCAAGAGAAGCTAAATTTGGCTACGGGGTTCCAGCTGACTATTATGAGTCACATATTCGAAAAGTTTTCAATCAAATTTAGTGCATCTCAAGTGCAATGCATGTGACTAAGTTCTTCGAGTGGAAATTTCATGGGGAGACATTTCCAGTAATTTTAGCACAATACCTTCCATTTGATGAGCCCAATTCTTTACACGTTTCTACACATACGGCAAGTTAAATAAAAGAGAAGAACACACCCCTACTTTTGCTGGATGACTCTCCACGAAATCCGTAATACGTGGCCGAATCAAATCACTCGTGTATCTCGTAAACAGAGACGCACGGTGGGAAGCAGCAATAAAAAACGCGAATAATTTAAACTTACGTTCACCTATGAATTATTATAAAGTAGCATCACTGGAACTTGTTTTATATCATTACTCAAAGTAATGAAGAAGCACGGCATTTATCGATTGGGTCAACTACTGAAATAGCTTGGGATCAGCATTTTCTCTAGATATACGCACACTTATTTTCACCTTGCTTGGATGTTCAGTGGTAATAGTACTGTAAAGGATCACGGAATTTTACACCGAACTTGATTTACACTAGTAAGCAGTTGGTGTTATTCATATGTGTGCAATTCTTGCATGTAAGATAATAGTTTGACAACTTCTGCGTCGGCCGCCTGTCACCAGTTTCTTGCAAATAATGCATTGATCAAAGCGCTCCCCAGAGGTCATAGTGTGAAGGAGCATACACTGTTTTTTAGAGCCAGAGGCTTTTGCTTTTTTAAGGATATATTTATTACCTGGTAAAGGTGCGTATAATG